ATGTGGATGTCCCCAGATAGAGAGAAAAGGAAGCGCTTCCTAGTCGCTCCGAGGCACTTCGTCCACAGTTCTCCTAGGATACGAAGTATGTACATGTCATAAGAGACGAAACCGCGAGGGCAGGGTGCCAGCTACGGATATTCCACCCGATGACTATGGAGCATTTGTACGGATACATACACAGTTGGCGCTGTCAATCTGGAAGCAGAGAACACACGACATTACGCAAGATTCTGGCCAAGTCAAGTCGAGACGAGGCGCGGCCCTCGGGACATGCAGGGCAGGGCATGACTATGCGATTGCAGGGTGCATGTTGACAGGCAAGCAGGGGTGATATCGGCAAGGGAGTTGAACTTCCATCTCGTACGCGGCATTCGTACGGCAGTTGAAAGGGGACGAGAGGGTGCGCGCGCTTGGGAGTGCGTGGTGTGCGTGTGTGTGTGTGTGCGTGTGTGTGTGTGTGTGTGTGTGTGTGTGTGTGACCAAAGGAGCTGAGAGATCGGATTTCTTAGTTGTAAGGAGAAGGGCCAGAGAAGAGGCAGAGAACCCAACAGAGGCAGCAAGGGCCGCTGACAGGCACGGGATGACATTGAGGTGAGAAAGAGAGGACGACAGGCGGCAGGGATAGACAACCTACCTAGGTACTGCCATGATTGAAGGTACGTACTGGTAGGACGTACCGCAGCAGATCAGGGAGCCACGACGCAGGGGCTTGCATGCGCAAGAGGTGGGGTTCCAGGTTCCAGGTTGCCCGAAAGGCACATACTTGGAAGTACGTACTGTTTTTCAAGTCCCCCTCACTTTCCAATTTCCCATTTCCATTTTCGAAGGATGAGCGACGACGATACGGAGAGCTTGACAAGATACCTATGCTGATGCAAGGCCAGGGCTCTACCTACTACCCCTTCAGGCCTTCACGATGCCGTGGCCGCGGGTGTTTTGTCTGGCCCTTATCTGTCTCTAACACAACTCTGTCGGTCTGTCGGTCTCTTCCACGCCCTGCCTCATGATGCGTGACCTTCCTGGCTCCAATGGCACCTAATCCTGGCTGAGCCTGGCGGTTGTGAAGCTGATTGGCTGTAAGATTCGTTCGTACCTTGCAGGTGGTGAGCTGGTGTCGTGGAAGGGCCAATGCTGGGCGGATAGTCAGGGGCTAGCACTTTACACTTCACACAACCTAACTCAACGCCATCGACCATTGCCAGCTACCACACCATACGCACACCGGGTCAAGGCTCATTTAACAATGGTGTCGCCGACTCGCCGTTATTCATAGCATGCCAGCAGCCATGCAACGGAACACTGGCTAAAGTTGTGTGCCAAGTCACGAACAAGCACTTCTGCTGTACAGAGTACGGAGCACTCTGTAAGACACGGCACGCAAAGGGAAGGGTATCCGAAGAGGGGAAACTCTACGGCGCGCCCATCCAGGGGATTATTTCAGGACTGCCTCTCTTATACGATGTAGCCGTAGCCGGTGTGTCTTTTCTTAGACCTGAACTCTTTAGACGACGCAGAGGCACAGGTAAAGATGGTGGTCTTGTGTTTCTTGTCTGTCCTTGTCCATTTCATCCACCTAGTTATCAATAGCCTTTGCGAGTATCCTGGGGCCCAGTCCGTCTGTCTATGTACGAATATGTTAGAGCCAACACCCACCCGGGGTTTGATTGACAGTGCTAACTGCACCGACAAGATGTTCTCGTCTGTTCAGTGGCAGGCACGCAGGCTGGCAGCGAGAGAAGGAACTTACCTAACACGCCATATCCAGGCGTAAAGAAAAACCGATCTGAGAATCCACTTTTCAGAAAGCCTCTGAAACAAGCCGCTCCCCAGACCAAGGCTACGCTAAGCCAATCAAGGCTGAGCCCCGGCGGAGCTTCTCACGGGTAACGGGGCTGCTTCGCGGTGCTGGACTATTAGTGTACGTGCCTATGATGTCTTGGGATAGGTACACTGTAGGTACCTCAACCGGCCGGCTGCGACTACCCTACTGCGAAAACAACCGATGCCCTACCCTTTTTTTCCCCATCATCCCACCAACACTGCAAACTTCTGACTTGGCACTACCAGCCTTGATCTCCGAACAGCCAATCTGTTATTACGACATGCGTCCAATCGCGCAAGTCGAGATGGGAAGACGCAGGAGCTGGTACCTGTGCTTCTCGGTCCTGTCACACCAAGGAAGCACCGGTGGAGGCCCGCAACCACCACCTATGCAGTCGAACATCTCCATGGCCCCGAAACTGAGGGCTTGAACCAATCTTACAGAGTGCATCCAGGACACATCCAGGAAACACTCCCACACCACTACACAAGGAGTTACCGAATGCCCCGTCGATCGGGTCCGCGTCTCATCCGCATCTTCATTGCCCACTGTCTTTGCGCCCTTCGTCCGGTCTTCTGATACCGACCCAGGCGCCAGATCACTGCACAACATCGTCACACTCGACTAAAACAGCCAGAACGAGCGATTCGCCGCCCACTTCACGCCTGTCTGAAGCAACCGGACCCGATCCCTTCGGCTATACTTGTCCATCTGCGACGTGCCGTGTCTGGGATCAGTGGGATGTGGTCGACCACACGGCGGGAGAGTGGGGGTTGATGCACGGCGGAAGCCAACGAGAACCAACGAGAACCAACGAGAACCAGGCCATTGCACAACGCAGCATTTTCCCGAAGAAGCGGCGTGGCGGCGTAGCTTTGGGGCTGATGCGAGATGCGAGCAAACAACGAAAACAAACTGCGATCGGTCTCAGTCACTGCCTGAACCACTGCAAGGTATCGTCATCTGGAGTCACACAGATCCCCCGGCCCGCCATGCCTTTGCCAGCTCAAATCACCCGTATCCCGCTAAAGATGTTTTCCTTTGCCAAGAGCCAATGCTGATTGTCGCTCTATACATTCCGCATCGGTATGATTACGGGGGCCTTTTTCGTGTTTGCTTACTGTGTAAGTGAGCGAACTTCGGATCATCGGCCACCTAGGTTACTGGTGAGTCGTGACTGGCCATATGTGGCTATGTAATCCACGCGAAGCTTCAATCGCGACAGAAAATATGTCTCGTTCCTTACTGGTCTCCAACGTGTTTCTTCCTATCTTTTGCTGCTTCTCTTTGCTTTTTTTTTTTTCTTTGCTTTTTTTTCTTTTTCCTTTTCCGCCTAGCCTATCACCAGCCTCAGCTCGGAGGTTTCAACGCCCACCAATCCCGGGGAAACTGAAATGGTACCCAGGTTGGCCAAACATGCAGCCGTCAATCGTTCGGTGTACGTCAAATGCGCTGCTGCGCTTCCATAGTATCAGTCTCGAGCCACAGATATCGGAAATGCCTCGTTGCTAAATTCCAAGTCGGTTTCTAGTGTGATACTCCTCGGAATCTGACCGGCGACAGCAAGTGTTTACCATTTGCTGTCGTTGCCGTCTGCTGGCGTGCCTACCTATACACGATACACCAGAGTCCCCTCGCCCTAGGCTCTTGGGATGACGTTTCAGTCGGGTACAATTTCTGAATCTTGCATGATCGATGAACATGGGATAAGTCATCTCCTCGGTCCTCGCCCGCGCGGGCCTTGACTCAGACGATACAGCGGAAGAAGAAACGCCCCAGCCTCAGCGCGAAATTGATTTGCAGATGGCTTAGTTCGCTGAGGTATCTAGCCAACTTCCAGTTGGGCTGTTTTGCGATTACAGGTTGACCGTTTGTCACAGCCATGCCGCCGCAGCCATTGGATCGCATTCTGAGACGAGTGAGATGGTAGACTCTGGAGATCACAAGCGGGCCCATTCTATCAAGGCAACGCTGGCGGATATGTTGTCTGTCGACACATCCTTCTGGCTGCCCTGGCTGCCTTAACACGTCGATCTCCACCCTAGGGCACTGGTTCCAAACGTGCTCACCGTTAAGAGAATCTGAAAGTTTCATGCCACTGCTACAGCGAAGCATGCGGCTTGTGGTGTGCGTAATATATTGCGAATCCTCAAGTGCAGAGTCGAACTCCTGTCTCGAATCGCGGCTTGGTCAATCGCTACCTCCCTTTGCTGGCTCAGGTTTTGTATCCCGGGGAGCGAGGCACATCAGCTTACCATGCCTCAGCTCTCCAGTCTATACTCTGTGGGTCGCTATCTACCGCCTCCATCCCAATGATAGAGGAGAGCTATTCGGGGTCTTCAGTACGATTTTATTGAAAACACTTCAGGGAGGCCAAGCAGTCCCCTAGGTCCCTGCCATTGTTGTTCAAGCGCACGGCATGATGCTCGGATACTGATGACCTGGTTTGTATGGACATCCATAACATTGTATCGCAGCAATCCACGCGGAACTGCCCTCTTCAAAGTTCAAAAGCCTCATCAAGGTTATTATGATCCACTGAATGGGCCCCGGTGTCCGCCATTAGCCTCAGTGATCTGCAACCGTTTCCTGGTGTTTCTAATTGTCATCAATTGCTTGAACGGCCCGTTTATCCCCAGTGATGTTGCGGTCAGTCGACCCAGCGCATGGCCAAAACATACCGCCCTGACGGGAAACGCATCACGTCTGCTACGGGAACTTTGTCTGAAGATCTGGACAACTCAAACCGTCTGATTGCGACAAACGTTCTTGGCCTCCCGTCAGTTGCAATTGGACATCCCCTTCGAATCTTTCTATGATTGCAATCGTACTACCTGCGAGCTCATGTGTCAGAAGTCCTCCATCTCAAGGGGCTAGTACGCATGCGCCGCCGGCCAATCACTCTAAAATGTCAAGATATGTTGCTCGCGCCGCCACGGGCCTGCCGCACCATTACGAGAATGTCGGATAAGCAAGTCAAGTGAATATTGATTGGAGGTGAAGGCGACAGAAGAAGAAGAAAGGCAAGGTCCACATCGGCGACAACCCTATACCATGTCTCCAGTCTTACCTCCACACATTGGCAAGGATCTGAAACGCAGCTGGTGGCTATTTTGCATCCTGTTGACTCGCACAAAAGCTACTGACATATCCATGCCCAACGGACTGGACTGACATGGCCAATCCAATCTACTTGTTGCAGTTGTCATTAAATTCCCAGCTCATCCTCGTCGTTGAGACCGTAGTCATTGAGGGCGGCCTGCTCGCCCAAGTCCGCCAAAACCTTGCGAGACCATGTCTCGCTGCTCCGGATAACCCGCCGGCACCCGTCCCGCACCCTGACTCCTACAACATGGCTTCCCAATCGGGACTTGTCCAGAACCCGTGGCCAGTTCTCTGGACCCATGCCAAGCTCGTCAATCCCGTCAACTCCGTCAATTCCAGCGATTCCAGCGCCTGAATTTCTCTTGCGGCTGCCATGATCCTCGTTTTGCGTCCTCTTCCTCTTCCCCGCCAGTCGTCGGCCCACTTGGTCACCATTTGACTCACCCGTCGGTCCAGGGCTTGCGATACCCAGAGCCCCGGTTTGGTCGGCTCCTTCCGTGGTCAAATTCAGCTCCGATCGATCCGCTAGGACCCGGACGTCGCTGTTATGTCTTCCGCTTCGGCGCCGAGGTAGGGCTTCTCGAGTGAAGTCTCCTTGCCTTCTTGCCAACGGGCTGACTGCGATCCATTCGCTGATGCCTTCTTCCCACCGAAACCCCGTAAAGTTGCCCTTAGCTATGACCATGCCGTCTTTCTCGGCCAGGTCTTTCTTCAACGTCTCTGCAAAGACGAGATCGCGTAGGTCGTCCGTCTTTTGGGCCAAGACAAAGGCACCGTTGCCTCTCAGTCTTGCGAACCCTGGCGTTTCAAGGGTATCGATGAGCTCGCAGACTTTGGCAAAGTACGAGTTGGATGGCTGGCCGGTGGCTCTCCCACAACAGTGAGCAATCGAGCAGGTGAAGTCGACAGTGGTGTCGAAAAGCTGGCTATCATTGTTGCCCGTGCTTGGGGCTCTCCCCAGGCCCAGACCATGTCCGAAGCCGTCTATCGCCGCCTTCAATCGGAGCCGAGTGGCTTCATGCGCCGCTCTAGCGGATAGAGACAGAAACAATGCCAGTAGAAGTGGATACGTGGCTTCCTTGCTACCGATACGACTTCTCACCAGTCTCAGTGCTTGGTAGAGAATATGAACTACCACTCTCTGGGTCCGACTTCTCGAACTTGCACTGGAACCGGGTGCAGCATGTCCGAAATCCTGCGAAATCATAGCCATGGCTGACAATGCACCAAGTACGCTCATCAAAGTGAGCATGGCTGGTTTTGATTCCGTTGTGAGCGCCGAGGAACGCCTTTGACGTCTTGGGAAGGCATTCATGCACAGGCTTGCAAGTCCAGTTGATGCGAACTCGGTTGCAGAAGGGCGTGCTCTTTTCTCGAGTACAGCGGAAGCTGCTATACTCCATAAGCCACCAAAACCTCTCCCTGTGACCATGTCAACGGGGAGCCGTCTACGAACCAACAGTGAGGAGAACGTTTCGAGCAAATGAGATTCCACAACTGAATCCTCTGTAAGGTTTAACAAATAGGCTGGCAGCTGGCCTTCTCTGTTGACTCTAGGCGTATCTCTTGATTCCAGGGGCTCGCAGTAAAGGAAGCAGATCAAAGCTTCCGTAAGGCTTGCTGTTTCGTGTAGAAATTGCATGGCCTTGCAATGATCGATCAAGATGCGAATAAACGAGACATCGAGCAGACCCTCCCCAATGACCCCTTTGAGAAGATGGATAGCATGTGCCCGTAGGAGTGTGCGCAAGTGACTCCAGCCGTTGTCGGTGCCTCCAAGGGTCTGTAGTTCGTCGTACACGCGTAATGAATAAGCCATTTGCTTGATACAGGACACCGGCCCGTTGTTCACAGCCTGAGATTTCTCCCAGTTTTCAATCTCCGTCGCGCACTGAGGCACTCTGTTCAGGCACATCGACAACAACGACTTCTTCCCGCCTGCAGGATGGTTGAGAATCGTCGAGCGTATGAGAGTATCCAGGTCGTGTAAAATACCCTCGTAAACCTGGTACCTTCCCGGTGGCAGTGTGCCTCTGAGGCGCGTTAATTTGGATATTGAATTGTCAAGTGGCCCACGTTTCGTAGTCTTAAAGCGCACACAGCTGCTCCCTGTCTCGTGGCATTCCGGTTGGTCAACACTCGGCGATGTTGTAATATGGTGCCTAGCTCTGCGAAGAATTGGCGTTGAGACGCTAGGCATTCCGGAGGAACAATTTTTCGGCCTTTGTCGAAAACTCCTGGGTGGGATAGTAGACTTTGATGCCATACTGCCATCGTCGTCTGAGGAGTCAGCCAACTTCATGGAATATGTACGGCGCGGGCGCCGTCGTTGTGTCTTGGGGGAGTACGCTTCGACTACAAGGCTCGGCTTTTTGGCCGTTTCGCGATCTAGCGCATCTTTGAGGGCTTCATTCTCAGGCTGTGTCTGCCCGCCAGCAGCTCTCTCGGCTATTGCAACCTTACGTAGCAAAGCAATCCGCGACTGAAGAGGGCGTAAAAGTCTTTGGCATCTCGAAGAAGTCCAAGGCAGGCCAGAATGGCCGAGGTGTCGAGTTCCATCTGTTCCTACCCTGGTCTCGCCTCTCCGATTCTTGTTGATAACCTTCGCCATTTCTGGTCCACCGATCCGTCTACTCATGTCGGAGTTAATATTCTGTTATCGATAGTGCTGGTTTCGAAACATTGAATAAGATGTGCCTTTGACGTATGAGAACCCGTAGGTGTACGTTATTGGAGCAAAGCGGAATGAGTTTGCTGCGTCGCTTGGTCAGTGTCGACGTGGATTGGTGTTGACGACTGCACAAAACCGAAGCTGCTCAGATACGCAGTATGAGAATAAGCTGGGTAGTAAGTGTGCTCGAGTGCTCGTAAATAGGCGTGTGATGTCGAAATTCTACCAACTAGAGCAATAGCGAATGAGGGCGCAATGTGCTGATGTTAAAAACTTAGCTCATGGTATGCTGACCAGTTGATGAGTGAAGCTGGGACGGAACATGTCCAACACATTGTATGTTTACAAACTCCCTAATCAGGTATGGTGTGTACATTGACAACTCTTGTGCTGCCACCAAAAGGGACTAGGCCACAGTGCACAGCGCTAGCTGGAAGGTCACGTGTCTATTGCCCACCTCAGCTCGAAAAACCTGGAGCCCCCTTCCCTCCCCAAAGAGTGCCTTACGTAAGAACGGCCGAAGGGAAGCAACTTGCATTAATGTTCTTGTCCACCGTGGTGTAATCATGGTCGCTGAGAACTCGACATATCTCAGGAAGCGTTCAGCTATTATTTCAGATGGATGCTGTAAGTAACAATCATGTATATGAGAATATACAATACGAATTGTTTGACACTTTAGAGGCAAGGAAGGAGGCACAGAGTTACTAAGGTACAGACTCTGGCGAGGACCGGGCCTCGCTACGGGAGGCTCTGTCAGGGCTCGCTACCTTCCGGGACAGCTTAGGGAGAACCGACGACAACTGACAGAGCTCCCCCCAGCGGAGTGGGCCCGAAAAAACCGACAGCTCCAGCTTTGCCGGGCCGGTGCATTGCCGTCAATTGATGAATGACAACGCGACTTTTTTTCTGCCGTGAATTTTTTTCCCCGATCGTTCCCAAAAGGCACTCTACCCTCTCACCTTTTCTCTACCACCCCCTTTCGATCCGCAACTGGCCGTTGAGTTGGAACCCTCTTATCCTCTCTTAGGCCGAGTATTCCTTTCTGCTACCCGTCACTTCGGAGCTGCGCATCTATATTCCACAGACCGCTACTTACACCGGTTCTACCCTATATTAATTGTGTATCTGCATTGATTTGTGCGATTGCTCAATTCCTCCCAACCCTCTCCACTTCGAAGCTTCGATTATATATCTTTCCCCTCTCAGAATTTTCTTTCCTTCGAGGAATATAAACTCCAGGTCCTTCTGGTATTTCTGCTAACATCGAGTACCAATGTCCCAATCCGATCAACCCAAAGGCAAAGGTACCAACTATCCACAAGCAAAACTAAGATACGCAATGCAATCCTTAAAGAGTTCCAAGCTAAACATTGAGTCCTTCCAGAAAATGCCGAAAAGGAGGTAGCGCCTCCCATTGAGGCCGAGGCCGAGCTCCAGGCTGAGGGCGAGATCGATCAAGGCCTAGATGGTAAGTAATGCAAGCTTTCATGGGGCTGGGACGTTGAATGCTGATGCATAGTAGCCTTAGTTACCCTTACAATCAAGCTTCCCAACGAGCCCCGTCAGATGCAAATTACGGTCAGCTGTGCTGAGTCCACTCGCGGATACATCCACTGACCAGTTTTGTACAGGTGTCCCCACAAGAACAGGTTCACGAAGTTCGCCAGTCCATCATCGACCTCCCTGTGGCATTCCAGTACACTTGCTTCCACCTGGAGCACCGCGGCCAACGCATCAATGACTTCCTCCCGATATCCGAGATCGAAGGCCTTGTCGAAAGCCCTGAAGTTACATTGGTCGAAGACCCATACACTGAGAAGGAGGCCCGTATACACCTCGTGAGAATCAGAGAGCTCATCGGTGCCGCTGGAGACCGCACCGACGCTGTTCAGGGCATTCTTCCAGGTCTCTCTCTGCTCGATAGTGTCTTGCCGCCGACCGAGGAACAAACCAACGCAGAGCAGACGGAGGCTGCCAAAGAGACAAAGGAGGATTACAGCTTTGGGACCCCGGTTCCAATCTCGACTTTGTTGCCTCCCGTCGAGGAGGAAGAGGCACCCAAGACGGTCAAGACCATTACTCTTTCGCCGTGGAACCCGCCGCCGCCTCACCTCAAGCAGAAAGGGCATCTCTTGTACCTGCTTGCTACTACTAACGAGGGTGAGCAACACCAAATCACAGCTCATGTTGGGGGGTTCTTCATCAACAAGTCCTCCAATGCCAAGTTCGATCCTTTCCCTCGCCCTGCGCCCAAAGCCGCTTCGAACCACTCCCTGCTCGGGCTCCTCGACCAGATTTCGCCGTCTTTCTCGGCATCCTTCCTCAAACTCCAGGAGTTCAACAACCGCAAGGACCCTCTGGCGACTTTCCAAATCACCAACGCGATACCCTCTGCGCCATGGATCGTGCCGTCATCCAACTCTCCCCTCTCCGCTCACATCCCCGACTGGACACGTTCCCAGGAGACGTATCTCATTGCAGGCGCCGACAACACCGACACACTGAGAGACTGGAACGAAGAGTTCCAATCTGCGAGGGAGCTTCCCAGTGAGACCGTGCAGGACCGAGTTTTCCGTGAGCGTCTCATGTCCAAGCTCTTCGCCGACTACAACGACGCGGCCACTCGTGGTGCTGTGCTCGTTGCCCGTGGCGAAATCCCTCCGCTGAACCCTACGGAATGC